TATATATATTTTGAGTCACTAATAGGAACAGTTTTAATATTTCTAAGAGATACATCAACTGTACATGGAACAGCTTGAAAGTTTAGAAGGAAGAAAAGAAGCACATTTACTAGCAGGCTAAGAATCTACTAGGTACTTACGGTTCAATGCTGACTGGGGTGGCTTCCCCCACTACCGTAAGAACAGGAGGGGTAACTTCTGAACTATCTGCAAGGAAAACAAAGAACTGCTCAGACAGCTCATCTTTGCATCTGAGATAGATTTACAATCTGTCTGAAGAATATATCCAAGCTATCCATCTCTCAAAAAAGGTACCCATACACTAAAGGAATTTAAGATGACCAAGAACTTAACTTCCAGTCACCATCTGCATCTCAGTAATACCTATTTACTGTCCCCTCAGTTCAATGATGACCCCTCAGGTCAATAATGACCATCTGTTATAGAGGAGGAACTGACTTTTCCATTCCCAGGAACGTCAGTAGGGGGTGTTGCAGATCACTGGTGAAGGCAGCTTAACATGCATGCCCAGATGGAAGCAACATTGCATTTCTTCCCCAGACTATTCGAAGTTGTCCCAGTTCCACATAACCACACCTCCTAAAGTCATGATCTTCTTCCTAATACTCCACAGTTCCTAACCATATATTAGCCAAGAAAGGAAAGAAAAAGTGGAACTTACTTGATCTAAGCAGAGTTCTGTGAGCACTTTTAGGAGTCATTGGAGGTGGAACCGAATGACCACTTGAAGAGAGGATAGCATTAAAATATAGCCCAGACCCTTCTCTCACTGGACTAAGAATTGGCGGAGGAGTGTAAGGAGGTAGCTCAAAGTTCCTGTCTGAAGGATGATCTGCCAGACGGACAGGTGACCGTAAGTGGCTCTGATACGGAGTAATGTTAGAATAAACAGGTGGTGCAATAAAGGTGCCAGCTTTTGGTGGTATGAAGAGTGGCTCAGGTCTTGGACGCTGCTTTGGTTTCCGGGCAAAGCCCTCTGCTTCATCCTTTGGAACAGCATCTTCATGCTATTAGAAAAAAAGTACATAATTAATTTCATTTTAAAACCTCACATCATTTGAAAAACTTCAGTGAGATGACAACAGTCTTTCATGGCAGCTCAAAATCTGGATAGGGCAACTGGGAGGTGTCTCAACGATTAGCACAAAGGGAAAAAATGGAGAATAGAATGGACACAGGAACTACTAGATAGCAACACTGAGTGCTTATGAAGTTATATTTTACAAGAACTACACATATGTCTGGTCTAACTTTTGGTTGGAAAGATAATGACCTCATGGTAGCTTTAAAAGGGAACACAAAAGTAGAGCAGAACCCTGGTACAGATACAGGGTGACAAGAAATAGCGTTAAGAGAACAGAAGACAATGTAACGATATTGCCTTAGATGGTCAAGCATTTAAATACAGAGAAAACTCCTTAGATGTCTTCCACTTCTCTGATATCTGAACATTCTATTGTACTTCTGAATAGAAGACAGGGAAAAAAACAAAACCAAAACCCTACTCAACAGCACCACACTGAAGGGGAACACTCAGGTACTGGTCTTTAGAACCTCAGCAACAGATTTCAATTCCATGAGAATAAATGTTCACTTTGGATTTTATTCATATACAGAGATATGCGCACTACTCAAAATTTATTATTATCTATGTATGTATGGAGAAAGTGCTCTTTGCTCAGACGATTTATTCTAGTGTTACTTACCATCTGTCTTTATTCCCTGTTTAGTAGTGGGGCATTGATGGCTGTACCAGCGTTAGCTGTAGGTCATGAAAAGCCAGTCATGCCCAAATACATGGCAATATTATGATGAAAAAAATCCAGTCCCCAGACTACATCCATTCCAAGTTCAAGATCCAACTACTTTAATAGAAAAGCTTATGGATAAAGCCTATGTAATTAAGTCTAACAGATTCTTTGATCACCCATACCTGATTTGAGGTTTCCATGTTAGTATTACGATTAGATCGCCTCCGAGTGACTATCACAGAAGGCTTGCGTTCACAAGGAGCTCGATCATTTGTTTGGCCTCTCTGGAGCTTTCCATCATCAGACTTTTCCTTTCCAAGGCTCTGCAAGTCAATTTTTCTCACTGGCACAGACACGGGAATGATAAGAGGCACAAGGCTGTTATCCTCCCGGGCTCTTTTGGGAGCTGGTGAAGAACTGGCGAATTCTACAACACTTTTTGCAGCTGTAGGTCCTGGAGCTGCTATCAGCACACTCTTCTCCTCTTCTGAAGTATCCAGATCCTGAGAAGAAAACTACATTCCTTAAAAGTTCTGTAGTGCTTACAGAATAAATCAGATGATATCTCACTTTCAATGTGTATCAAGTTTCTCAATGCGATTTGCAAGCTGAAATGGATTTGGAAAAGTGTTACCAGAGGAAAAAGAATACTTCCCAAAAGCATTACCAAACTTTCTTACAATTACTCGAGGATTGCCTGAAATCTCAACTGCTATAATATTTTTATACATCATTCTTAAGTACTCACTACCTATGGTTTGACATTTTATTTTCCAGATGAATTTGTGCCCTGCCATATAACTCGCAACAAAGGTTCTTCAGTTTTCGTAATCAATCTAAGCTGCAGGTTATTAATTTCAAATATTGGACTTCCGTTCCAGGAAAGACTGAACCATGATAATCTTAATTAAATCTCTCACAGAAAAAACAGAGCTAGCTTTTTGCGCATTTTTGTTCTGATTTACATGACAGAAGTTCCTTATTATAAGAGAAGCCTTTGAGGTTTGTTGTCTTAATAAGGCTTGAGCCTGAAGGACTTTTGCTCAGCAGAATCAACAAGGCATAACTGCAAGCCAGCACTTTTTGCACTGCTATTACAGCTTCCAAGTCTCTGCTTTCTTTTGCTCATGAAAACCCTAAGAAATTGAGCTTGAAGGAGATGGGTATGGGAGATGAGTTACTGAATAAACACGTGGATACTGTAACACCAAATGGCTTCAGGTACTGTTAGATCCATGACTTCTAGTCCTTTCAATGACTATCCACATGTTCATTCTACTCTCAATTCAAACACAGTTGCCAGCTCTCTTAGAAGTCAGACATTAAAGTGCAACTTTCAAACACACCTCTCTTCAGGGATGTAAAAGGCCTTCTTGAACTCTGCCGAAGTGCAATCTAGAAGCTGTAGATGCTCCTTTTTTGGTCTTTCAAAACATCTAACTTAGAGCTCTGATTGGAAAACCTTTGGATAGGATTAGGTATGCAAACTCATCCTCCATCAGAGCCACAATCTAATGAGGAATCTACCTGAACAGCTGTGTTTTGCAGGTGGAAACTAAGGCACATTATCCCTCAGGTATGACAACACGTCTCCAACCTGGTCTTCCAAAATTTTGCAGAGATTTACTGGAGTCCTCAAAAACAATTTATTCACAGAACACAGAATCACTAGGTTGGAAAGGACCTTCAAGATGATCAAGTCCAACCATTAATCCAGCGCCACCATGTCCCCTAAACACTGTCCTGAAGCGCCACATCCACATGTTTTTTGAACACTTCCAGAGGCCGCCACCACCTCCCTGGGCAGCCTGTTCCAATGCCTGACCACCCTCTCAGTGAAGAAATTTTTCCTAATATCCAATCTAAACCTCCCCTGGAGCAACTTGAGGCCATTTCCTCTTGTCCTATCGCTAGTTACTTGGGAGAAGAGGCCAACACCCTCGTCGCCACAACCCCCTTTCAGGTAGTTGTACAGAGCGGTAAGGTCTCTCCCCTCAGCCTCCTCTTGTCCAGACTAAACAACCCCAGTTCCCTCAGCTGCTCCTCATAAGACTTGCGCTCCAGCCCCCTCACCAGCTTCGTTGCCCTTCTCTGGACACGCTCCAGCACCTTGTGTGCCATTAAGAATGCCTAATCCTGAATAAAAAGCTAGCATAAGCAGGTTCTGTCATAAAGATTCAGGCACCCCCTCAGTCATTCCACTATGGTCATAGGTAATTTTTCCTGAGTTCCAGCCAAAGCTCTCTGTAACAAACGTGCTTCAGCTGGCCCATGAAGAGTCAACCCATGATAGCTAGAAGGACACTTAGACTGAAGTCCACTTTGATACTATATTTATATTGAGGGAAGTGCAACTGTATTGTCACAATACGCATCAGTCAGAGCCTGGAGTTAGTGCTCTGGCTCTCTCCTCTCCAAATGACAGTCCTAGTAATTTTTGTTGCTTTTAAAGCACACAGGTCCACTCTGAAACACTAAACCTTCAAAAAAAGCTAGATGCCAAGCTTGAGCAAATAAAAATAAATCATATCAAGATGACTTAGGCCTGCATCCTTCCAAGACCTTTTATTACAGTAAGGCTAAGTGTGCACAGAAAACTTTATCCCGTAAGTGACACTGCAGTTTAGAAGTCTGACTGGTGCTTAAAAGAGACTGGAGGTATCTGTCCCCACCACACAGCAATGAAACACACAACTGAAGAGTCACAATTGGCATCAGCTGCCCCAGACTATACTGCAGGAAGAACCAAGGAGGTCCGGGGACCTCCTTTCACTCCAGGCCGGTGATACACACCTGTGCTTTCCCATGAGACTACCAATTTTGTATTTGGAGGGCATTCATCATATTGACAGATAAGTCACTAGGGACCACTACCTCTAGATAGTAAGGGGCTCTTGTAAATTTTTGTAGCCTCCCTCCACTACTTCAGGAAAGAGAGACTAACAAGGATGCTTTTTTAAAACATATAAACAGGTCATCTGCTGGAAACAGATGCCTACTTCCACTTCCTGCCTATACTTGAAGCAGCAGCTCACAGATGGCTTCGCGCTGCTACATGTGGGCCTCCATTCATCAGGGAAATTTATGCTGTTATCTTATTACTGAAGCCTAGTTAAACATCTGGGACAGCTCTGGGGTCTTCTTGTGGCAGTGAGATCCACAGTGGATAGTTTTGTACCACTGTTTAGAGGGGCGCATTCATAATACACTCTTTAGACCACTACCAAGAAAAGTCTTGGTTTTAATCAGATTACTTTTTTCCCTCCCGATGTACCTGTTACTAGCACAAGCACTCTGGCATACCTTCTGGGTACCTGAGAGAATAACGGCAATCAAACAAGTAATGGCAATATGAATATGTGAACAAGCACCAATTCTGACCAATCTACAAACCTCAGATACTTCCTGTGTGCTGCACAGATCTCTGCAGGTCAAGAGACATGAACTAATTTCCTGACTACAAGGAGGAAATAATGGCAGCTAGTCACACAAAAGATGTCACATTTCTTTGGCTGTATCATCGGTCAACCATGCTCTTTTTATTTGCAAGTAAATCTCTTCCTTGATGATGGGAGAGATGACCCCTTTGAGAGAAACGAGCAGGGAGGAGACCTGAAGAGTAGTAGAGAGAAGGCACCATTGGGAACTTGATATAAATAGTTGAGAGATCCTTAAAGATGCTCTGGTCCATACCAGCACTCTTCTGGTCATAAAAAGATCACACATACCTAAGGTTTACTAAGAGGGGACACGACTGATTTTGGAATTAAGCTATGTGTTTCAGATCCCTAAATAGTTTCTCAACTGTTTGGTTATGCTCAGAGGTAAGCAGAAAGGAGTCACTGAACAAGGGACAGGACCTTCATTTTTAGAACTGCCAGGGGATTTTCAGCAAGCTCAGGATCTGTGTTGCACAATTTGGGGCAGGAGGACTACTGGATAACCACAGCAAGTACAACTTGTTGCACTTCCATTTAGACTCTTGCATAAATATTGAGGCATGAACTAGTGATCTCGAGTCCTCCAGGACACCCACAGAAACCCATCAGTCATTTTGGCATTGAACCTGTCTATCTCACAAGTTGTTTCTAAAAAAATTTAGAATTCACAGACAAAACCCAATTGCGATAGCTGGAAGAACTGTTCCAAGGTCAGTGCTGGGATCAGACAAGAAACCACACCAGCCTCTCCGAAACACTTGCGTGTGCAGTGCTTTCTGCCATGATTCTGCATCATCTGGCTAACAGTAAAGTCAGCTTCTCTCTGCAGTCAAACTGAAGCTTGTCCATGAAGGAGGCAAGTCCAGAACTGCAATTCCACAAAAAAAAAAAAAAAAAACACAACGCAAAATTTTTCTTTTACTTTTGTATGTGGCAGCTGGTGCCCTGCCCTATGCCCAGGAAAAGAAGCCAGGTAATTAAAACCTCTGTTTCCCTTCCATAAAGAATATTTATCCAGACACCCTGCAGACAACCATTTCAGATCTCAGAAAAGTTTTCTGCACTATTAAAGAAAGCAAATTACACCACCTTTTTGTAGAAGAGTTATATATGAAATGAAACCGTAAAACTAAGAGTTGAGAATTTGCTGCAGCCTGTAAGCAGCAATAAGCTTGCACACCCTGATAAAGGCAGGCACAATTTGATGGGCAGCTTTGGTGCAAAGCATCAGTTTTGACATCCCATGTAGACAGATACTGCTGTCCAAAATACTGTTTTCACATAGGTACACAGCCCTACATTGGAATGTTCAAACAACTTGTTCAAATTATGAATGTATCTTCTTCATCAATGTATCTTTCATTAATAATTTAACCCTATGGCCGCCTTACACACGCTTCACATAATCTGCGCTAGAGAAGGCTTCTAGGTTGTTGCAACAGAAAGACACTGATAAGAGAAGCAGACCAGTCTCCTCCAATAAACATGTTTTCTTTTTCTCCCTCACATAATATCCAGCTCCCTTAAAGACATAAAATCCATCAGACCTCAGGTAAGGATTACAACATCTTTCAAAACCTCCTCCCAAAAGCTTGAAGAGCTCTAAACATAAAGAGATCTTCTACTAGTGCCATCATGGAAGCAAACAAGCTGCTTGCGTAAATGCAAAGAACAAAAGAGCATCTGGCAAAACACTTCTGTTTGGTCTTTACACTGTGAATCAAGCTGCAAGCAGACATGACTTCAAGCAGCCAATTTCTAGTTTCGCCTCTAAGGGCCTTTTTGTAGATGCCCTATTAGCTTTTTCTTGCCACTGTATTGGTGATCAGACTGCAGTGTGAATTGTCGGCCCTTCTGCAATATAACCACATACAGTGACTGGGAGTATGAGCAGATAGCTCACGCTGCTAACTACTACTAGCTTTCTATCAAATTTGCTTGTTCAACTGGAGTTGGAGCAAAAAGGACTGAAGACGGCATCAACCGTCACTGGTTGCTGTCTGCTGTGCAACAGATGGAGTAAGCTATGGATATTTGCCTCCTTGTTTATTATCTTAGCTCTTTCACTCAAATAGCACATCCCTCTAACAAAAGGGTTGGAAAAAATGGCCACAGACAGACAAAAAAAAAAAAAAGATGATGAAACCAAGAGGAAAATAAAATTCCCTTCCCTTTGTTGTCTGACTGAGCAGCAGCTCACGTGGCAAAACTGCAGGTAACAGTTGCTCATGCTACTGCAGGTAAAAGTAGCTCATGCTCTAACACCTGTATTTCATTAGCCTCTGGCAACAAAGCTCTCAAAGAAAAGTGTGTCTACTTTTCACAAGAGGCACTCAAAGAAAGATTAGTCAAACCACAACTGAAAGAAAACCTCCAAAAAAACCCTCAAAGAACCCACACCCCACTCCTAAAATCCCACCACTTGCCTCCCCTAGGCTACTTAATTTTGAACCCTGTCATTTTGCTATGTGGAATACATACTGTACAGTTTAGACTGATGGCACACCAAAAGGATAAGGGTAGTGAACAACTTAATCAGCCAACACTAGATTTCTTCCCCATCATCAAGCCCTACAGAAGGTCTAGGCAGACTTCATCCTCAAGTTACCAATCTCTAACCATTTTCTGCAGGTCATTCTCAGAAACAGCATGCCACATCAGATAGACCTGTGTTAGGCCTGGTATAAGTTTGTCATGTATGTGAGGCTTCCTCAGGCTTTTAATATTGAGAAATACTGAACATGTAAATTGCATTATGTGATTTTTAGATAGCACAATTTAGAAACACTTCAACCAATAAAACTGAAAAACTGGCATGTAAGTAACAGTCTTTTAACATAAAAGGACAAGAACGTTAAATTGGTAAAAAGACACCAAGTGAGCTGCTTATACTTGTCTCTCTCAATTCCTGATCAGCTTGAGGCCCAAGATGAAAATGTCCATATTTTGAAGCCCTGGGCTATAATCACATTCAGTATTAGTGAAATAAAACTGCCCCTAGGTGGTTGCACTGCACTAGAAGATCTCTATTCTGCATCTATGAATTACAGTAGATGAACTTACATGTCACCACTCCAGAGCTGCCCTTGCTGTACTACAACACTTCTGGCATCAAGATACCATTCCATCCTGCATATGTACAGAAATTCCTTTCATTTCAGCTCTATTTCGAGTCTAAAATATTCTCTATTGTTTAGGATGTATACCTTACCTTTACATTTTGAAGGGAAGCCAGCTCAACAGCTTTTTGGGCCAAAGTTAGCAAATTGGCTTCTTGAGAAACACGCCGTCTCCGTCGTGTACTCTGGATTACACCACCTCTGACACCCTGAAAATCATTAGTTCTCTGAGTGTTTTCTTCAGCTACTGCTGCCTGTTTCTCCCCATCTCTACCATTCTGGGCTGTGGCTTGCCTGTCTGTTTCCATTTGGCTCAGCTCACTATTGACCAAGACATCCTTCTGCCCCAGATCCATTCTCTTGGGGTGCAAATAGCTACTTTTGTTGTGGGCCAGTGGTTCAGGCGGCTGCTGTAATGGGACCTCTTGCTGATGTGTTTGCCAGTGATGCAGAAATAAATTGCTAGGTTGTTCTTCTGCCTGCTTGGAAGCCACCACTTCTCCTGCAGATGTCAGCAGAACACCTTCTTTGGAGAGTCTCCGTGACCTTCTTGGAAAGGGAATCTGGGTCTGAGGTAGCACAGTCTGTTGGTTCTGCTCTGTTAGAGCCTTGAATAGTTCCTGGTTCCTCTCTGTTTGCTGAAACTGGTGTGCCATCATGTGATGCTGAGGTGCTGCAGCTGCCACATGAGGCTGTGCTATGGAAGTAGTTTGCTGCAGACCGAAGGCTTGTGTGGCAGCCTGTTGCTGCTGCTGCTGCTGCTGCGGGTAGAAATTTTCAAACAGCTGTAGCTGGGGAAGAGCTTGCTGTTTTTGTTGAGCAGTAAATGCTGGACTGGAAGAAGCTGGGGCTTCTTGAAAGACATGTAACAATTCAGGAAGACCCTGCTTTTGGCCTTGGTGACCAAATGCAAGTTGGAAAGGCTGTAGCGGCAGACTTTGATTCTGTTGCTGCTGTTTCTGCATCTGATGAAAAGAATTCATTTGAGCTTGCTGTCTAACCAAGGCTTGCTGTTCCAGCTGAGCCTTCTGGGACATCATCTGCTGGACAGCATCTCCATACAAGTCCAGCTGTGACACAAACACTCCTTTCTCTTGATTTCTTTTAAGGGCTTCTGGGTGGCCATAGAAGCCCGGGGCACCAGCATTGGAGTGGGGTCCTTTTGGGTTGCCCCCAAAAACCATACTGTGGTTCCACATGGAAGGTGGAGACTGCCAGTGGCTGTCACCCCTCTCTGGCAACCGGTTTCCCATTAGTGAATTCTGCCATTTGACAGCTGTTACCGTCTGGGACATCATCATTGACTCTCCCCTATCTTGATTGTAAACAGAGTTCATCAAAGCAACATTGCTGGGGGCACTTGTTAATCCTCCCACGTGAGGAATCTCCATAGTTTGAGAGACCGGTATATTCCCTCCATGACCATAGTACTGTCCTTCCTTAAGCTGCTGCTGTGGTTCTTTTGATGACACAGCTATTTCCTGCTCATTAAAATAGGCAATCCGTTTCCCAGTCCTTTTGCTTGAAGACTTTTGCTGAGCCTGAAGATTCATGGTTCAGTCTATTCTCCCAGCTGCACACACTGTATTTACAATCCACCCATCCCTGATGTTGGGGGAAGAAAGGCACGGAAGTCTTTCTTTTCCATTCAGTTTTAGAAATAAAGGGCAGGAAAGAAGTCCAGATGAAAGTGCATCCACTTCCTTTTTCTTCGTGTGGTTCCCGTGCTGCTTTTCACTCTTATCCTTTGTGGTTCAGAGGTCAGTAGGGTCCACTTAGTTACAGGTCCTGAAATACAGAAGCAATTGCAATGAATCATCAACACAGGTAACTGGCATATAAACCCTCATGCGATAAGCAACAATGTGTATGTCTGTCCCATTTCCCACAGAAATGAAGATCAAGATTAATATGTGTAAGAAATAATAGATCTGTCCTGCTAGAAGAATGTAAACCAAAACAACTTAGTTTTACAAAACAGATGTCACACTGTATTTGCATAATGCAACCCCCAGTTGCATGTAGACTTCTGACTAATCACTCAAGATCATCCTGAAGGTTTTTCTCTTAAACTCCCTCTCCTGTGGCCAATTACTTCTATGTCTTCCTGTGGCCAGAATAATCTGTTTTTAATCTGAAGTCAGAAACACAAAACAAAACAAACCCCTCGTGACTTGCCAAAAGAAAAATAACGCATCAGGCCACATTTCCCAAAGACATTTAACACACACATGCACACGAAGGCTGCAGCCAAACACACAGCACGATGCTCAATCCAGTGTTTTGAAAGAAAGGATCAGGCAGCAGCCCATCATTCACCCCTTCTCCCCCGACCATTACAGTTGTTTTCCAATTAAGAACAGCCCACCAAGCATCCAAGTGCTGAAGACAGGGCCTGCTCAACCTGTTGTCCTCTCAGATGCTTTCTTCAACAGCTGAAAGCAACTGCTCCTGCTCAGGTCACACTCACAGAGAAGTGGTTCAGGCAGATTGTTACAGCTGCTCCTGGACACCAGCAAATATCTGTTAGTGTAAAGCTACAAACGTAATAGGAGAAAGCGTTTCTGGAACATGCAGTCTAAGGCAATTCTACCCTCCTCTTCCACAGAAAAAAGCTATCTACAAACTTAGGCTTTGAAAGCCTAGTTTGCAAGGTTACGGTCTAATATATTAACACATACACTAGTATTTCTATTAGGACACCTAAAGCCTTTTAAGAAGTTTAGTTTTAAATTTAGTTAAATTCTTAAACCACTGCTAACTCTCAAGTTATTAAGTGTAAGTCTCTACTACTATCTCTTTTCAATATGCACTCTCTTCCACTTCAAATCACACTGCCAATGTATTTCAGAAAGATTTTAAGAAATTGTTAAAACCCCATTCTTATTGCATCCCTTCTGCTATAAAATCAAGTTTCTTTTGAGTGGAGCAAGTAAGACTAACGCACGCATCCGCTCCAATGAAACCTGCAATCCATTTCTCTCTCTATAAAATGAAAAATAATAAACCAAAAGCATTCAGCACACTCTAGTCCTGTAGCCTGAGCTTCCTCTAAACAGATAAGGCTACAGTGCAGATTTTAATACTGGGGTGGGGTTGGGAGCATTATGCGAGGAAAGGCAATGAGTTTAAATTAACTTACGCAACTTCCACCTCAGAGGCCAAGCTTGGCTTCAGTGCTACTGGAACCATGGGTCTGTGTTTCAGAGTGAAGTGACTCACTTCCTCAGGCTGTTACATAGCTGTTCCCCCCACGCTCCCTCCTGCTTCGCCCTGGCTGCAAAGCGTGGACCTCTGCCACCCTGTATCACAGAGCCAGGGTGTTCCTCCCTCCTCTCAGCGCAACGTCTCAGCTCATTTTCCAGTCCTCTCTCGACAGGATGAAAATAACTCTAGGAGAAATTATGGACACGTGAGATGGAAAATTCTCTCCAAACTGCAACTAGTACACAAACGAGGATTTCATAAAGTAAGTTTTTCCTATTGCAAAACTTCATTAGGAGAGGAAAAAACATCCTACAGCAGGAAACTGGATCCCTGGTAGCAAAAACGTAGAGGCGGAAAGGTCACTATATGCTTCTCAGGAGCACTAATGTTATTCCCTCTCCCTGCTTTTTGCAGCATTGCTACAAACATAACAGAGCGAACAGCTAAACGGCAATACCTGAGGTAATACTACTAACAGTGGTTTGTGACACTTTCTTTCCAAAAATCACCACAAGCTATTTTTCTCTCCAAACTTGACAACCTTCTAATAGTATTCATCAGTCACATAATTCTGATAAAAAGAATGCATGTTTTTCTATGTATCGGAAGACATTGCCACTAGATCAAATTTAAGCCTGCCAGACAACCTTTAGAAGCTCTGCTGTAGATTTCCTACACTTTGAGGAAGAATACAGTGGTAACTGCCCAAAAGCTGGCATACAACTTCAAGGGTCCTTGCTTTTAAGCTTTCTAACAAAAGGGGGGGGTGGGGGGGGTGGGGGGGGAGGAACAAACAACAAAACCCATGACAAACAGCTGATGCCATTCTCAATAGTGATGGCTGAGATTTGCAACTACCACACACACAAGTATCCAGAAGACCTTTAGTAACTTCTCAGGTTAGTGAGAAAGTGTTGCATTAGTACAGCTCTCCAAACCTCCATTTGTGGGGACTTTGGCTCCATTTTTTCCATTACTAGATAAGAAGCCACAGCATTGCAAAGCCTAACTCAGATCAGTTTAGAACTGCAGCTATCTAGGACAGAGATGTAACAAAAGTATTAAGATGCAAAGTTTACCAAAAAAGTTGAGCGATAACCTAAAGGAGGGGAAGGAACATGTACTTGCCTGTTCCATAAAGAAAGTCCTAAAAGAATATTAACTTCCCTGGGAGGCATATATCTCGTCACTTGAGACGACTGTAGTGACTGAAGAACAACTGAAGTTACAACAGCACAAAAACCAAGATAGTGAAAATGACATTACCAGGGAGGAAGGAAGAGATTTAAGGTACTTTGAACAAAACGGGCTTATTGAACATCCCAGCTCTGCCAATTGCATGCAAAAATAAATAAATCTTAACCAAGAGATCACCAAGGAAAAAAAAAGATAATTTGGTGCATCCAGTATTAGACGGTAAAAGAAAACATCACAAAATTAGCTTTTTAGAATTTTCTTCTATATAGAAAAACTGCAGAAAAATATCTTGCACGTCACCTTAATAATAATAGTCCACAGTTCAAGCTGAAGTGATAGATGTTCAATCTGCAGCATGACTATGCTCCAGGAAGCTGCTCACAGTTGGCAGCTTCATTGCCTGAGCACTGCTAGCTCTATGACTAAGCAGGCTTCCCTCCCCAGGGTTGAGGGATGAGCTCACCTTGCCATCATCCTTGCCAATTACCAGCTTTGGAGTTTTTTTGTTTTGTTTTACTTTAATTTCAGCACAAAAGTCAGCCTGCAGTAGCGCAGTAAAATGGCAACACGCTTCCAAGCTTAAGTGTGCTTTGGAGCAGTATGTCCCTGACCATTTCTTACAGTTCCGATACCGTATTTCCCAGAAGATACTGTGTCTTGCCTCCAAATATACTGAAGTGTTATGATACCTTGCATTGCTTTTACACTGCACAGGGAAAAAGCAGAACCTACCATCAGTATATTTTGTTTCAATAACTGTAAGGTTTGGCATGCATCATCATCAGTTATTTTCAATTCCAGAAACTGCTGGCATGCAAGACTATCTTGTGACCTTTCTTCAGATCAACATGAATTGTATGTCACCTCCTTGAATACTGTAAATATTTTCAGATTTCTATGCGAATTTTTCATGTTGCAAGGCTTTTTCTTCTAGACGTAAAAAGAATATCAAATTAGATACACATATACCCAATGAGCACTTGCACAGTATTTGCTCATGCTTTTTTCATTCCAGAAAAGTAACCTATGGCACTTTACTGAGAGAAGTTAGTTAGCATTTTTAGCTGAAACTTCTCCAGCATATCTGCACTAGAGCATTAAAGAAAGTCATAAACATATAGAAAGCACCACGTGGGCTAGATCTAGGCAAAGTCTCCCGAAGGATTAACTTAAGTATACAACAGCACTAAGAGGGAGTCTCTGCCTGCATCCAGGACACTGTTCTCAAATTAATAAAGTCCTTTAAAAGCAGCCATCTTGTCCCAGTTTATCATTAGCCTGGAGAGTTTGCTATAAGACCTTTTTTAATTATTTTGGTTTTTTATTAAAGTTAAAAGGTTATTTGATTTAGAAGACAAATTAAAACCACTCCATTGCAGTCATTTAATATAAAATATCTTTATCTCCCTTTAAAACTTTTTGCCTGTATTACCCACCATTATTCCATTTCTTTAAATACTCTCTTCACTAAGTATGCACATATTTGTACAATTTCACATATCAAGTTCACGACCTCACATACTGTAGTAACCTTGAACTCTACTCTTCAGCCCACCCACTGAGGGCTGTGCTGTCTTACGCTTTGCTTAGTTCGTTACATCATCTATATTTGGCATGATAAGCAAGTTTAAATTTTGCACATTCCTAACGTCCTTTGACATCATTCGCACACAATTCTGTCTTGACAGAATGCTGCAGAAATGACTCCGGAAAGACTCTGACTTCTCCTCAAACCATGGCAAAGTTAAGGATGCAGAAAATAATAAGTGGTCACAGACCATCTTCTATCTCACCACTTTAATCGTAGCTTTCAAATACTTCTATTTTAGTTTTTTTTCATGTGAAAAATAAAAAGTGTTCCTGGGTTCTAGCTAATGTACACTCTCATCTTTAACTGCAACAATGCTGTCACAGTTAGTTACAGGAAATCTGTCAAATTAGAGTTATGAGAACAATTTCTCACTACATCCTCCTGCTGCCAGCAACTCAAATTACTGATCTCCCCTGTAAGAAGCTCAGTCACTTTTAATGATGATGAACAGATTCCAAGAACAATTTTCACATTCAAGTCAAATGCAGCAAGCTACTCAGTGTCCTTCTGAGACAGAGCAATTGAGCCTTCCTTCTCTGATTTGCTCATTATTATGGTCAAATCCCACATTTATGAAATAGGTAAAGACTCATGACACACATTTCACTAATGAGGAAAGCTAACTCATTTCTAAGATCACACAACAAACAAGGTCAAAAGTGGAGAACAGAATACAGGGTACTAGCTACCAGTTCCCCTCCAATCCCGCAGGAAAACACAGGTTTAAATCTATATGCAAAAGACAAAAATTCGGTGTTCTATTTATGTATGTGCAGAAAGGCCAAAGAAAATTTAATTCTTCCAGTGCA